TTGAATCGAATTTTATTTTGAAATAATATAGTTATATTCTGTAAACAGAAACAATGGTCATGAACTTGATTAACTTTAATATAGAATTTTGGGTCAATTAGAAGTTGGAATGAATTATGAGTACTGGTTGGATCTGGGCGTACTTGGGAAGGAGGAATTCAATATTTTTTGGGTTTTTCTACAGTGTCACTGTAGGGCTTGTTATGTGAGGAAGAGTCAGGCCCATGTTGATTCTAATTTTAGTCAACCACCAGGCCCAATCTGGGGAGTTACACTTGGGTCCAACTGAATTAGAAGTATTTTTTTAAAATTCTTATTTCTTATTAGTTTTAACTTAGAATAATTAAGGAAAAATATTTTAAACATTTCAAAAATTATGAAATTTTCTAGATTATTATATTTTAGTATAATGAATTTAGTTTTGTTAAAATCCAGATTTTAAATGTTATTTGGGTAAGTTTACCAAATTAAACCTTGAAAAAGTATTATTTCTCAACACTAAAAGGGAGAGTATGGAAAAACTATTAAGAGTTAAATTCTGAAATTTTGCAGGGTATTATATCTAATGTTAGGCTATGTCCAGGAATTTTGTACTCTTACTAGTTCTTTAAGGTTCTGTTTTTAAATTAAAATGGTATTTGGGTGCATTAATTAATAATCTGAATTATTAATTAATGATATCTTTCATAATTCATCATAATTAATAATTAATAGATGAGTTTGGATTAGTCGGAGGGGTAGTCAGGGACTAACCCTATGATGACTTTTGGGTATGGTCAGGGACCTGCCTATTTGGGAGTGCACTACCCTTTTATTATGGCCATGGGTTTAATGAGCCCTTATTGTGTGGACGTGATCAAGGATCATCTAGGGAGTAGACGTACAATCTAGCCACACGTGTGTTTTCGGTAGTCAGAGACTATACGATTCACACCACTCTATTGGATGGGAGCCCGGGGCTCATGTGAGATATGTGAATTTATAAAAAAAAAAAATTAATAATAATGGCTATTGTAGATTTCATAATTAACTAGGTTATGCATATTTAATTAATGCATTTATTGAGTTGCTTTTATATATGGGAATACAAGGTAGGGTTAGCTTGCTGAACGATGATTGTGTTTAGCATTTCTTGCTGAGATTGTTAGCTCACCCCATTATCACATTTCAGGTGCTCGTAGAGTAGGAACGTGATGGAGACACCTGACGGTGATGGATTTTAGCTCATTGCTCATTGATTTATTTTAGCTCGGTTTTCCTTTATTATGATTATTGTAATAAAGTTAATATTTTATGAAACTTTATTGAGTTAATTCAGTGGTCATAGATGTTTTGTTATGTTAGAGGGAATTTCACCTCTATTTATGGATTTGATTTATGTTTGTTAGACACTCATTTTTAATAGATTGGATGATGGAGATTCATTATAGTTATATGTTATAATGGATGCATGTTGAGAATTGGTGGAAGTTATACATCAGATTTTACATACAAGACAAAGAGTCTTTGTGTTAAAATTTGGGGTGTGACAGTTTGGTATCAGAGCCTAGGTTAAGAATTACCTGGCTAAGAGAAGTGACAGTAACGATAGGAGCATATACTTATACGAATTATCTGCACTCTTACCATTCTCTAGTTTAAAGTATAAATTACTTGTGAGACTTATCATTGATATTCTTTACTGAAAATAGGATGTTAGGAGCTGGAAGAGGCAGAGGACGACCTGCTAGAGGTAGAGGTCAAGGAGGTGCTGGTCGTGGTGGTATTGACCATGATGATGTTCAGTTGGAGGATATACCTCATGCTCTGAATCCTATGATTGGATTTATTATAGATATACACAAATTGGGGGCTGTTGAATTTATTAGAGCTACCGATCCACTTGATGCTGAGAAGTGGATTGAAGATATGGAAAAGTATTTTGAGATGATGGACTGCACTGAGGTGCAGAAAAGGAAAATTGGTGCATTTCTTTTATCTGGTGAGGCGCGTCAGTGGTGGCAGTCAGAGACCAGGATGGTTGTGGACATTGCAGTTATGACCTAGGATGATTTTAAAACTCAGTTCAACGACAAATACTTTCCACAATCAGTGAAGGAGAAGAGGGCAGCAGAGTTTATGCAGCTGGAACAGAATAATGATGCGTCAGTCAGTGAGTACGAGAGGAAGTTTACAGAGCTATCCTGATTCGCTCCTCATATTGTTACGAATGAGTTACACAAGGTTAGAAAGTTTGAGCGAGGATTGGTCTCTTATGTGAAGAAGTTTGTGGTGGGTCATCGTTATGACACATATGCAAAAGTGATGGAATGTGTTATGGCGATAGAGGAGAATAATAATATTGCCTTTCAGAAATAGAAGAAGCGTAAGGAAGAACAGAAAAGTAAGGGGGCTAGCAGCTCTCAACAGAATCAGAGGGGTCAGCAGCAGCAGATAAAGAGAAACTGGCAGGGTCAGTCTTGGCAGAGAGGTAGACAAGATTGGCGAGCAGGGAAACGGCAGAGAGTTGGTGAAGGTGAGCAATTCACAGCTTTAGTACCAGCCACACCTCATGATGCACAGCCATATCAGTTCAGCGGGCATTGCTAATTGTCCTAAGCCTCACAAGAATAACCAGTAGAGAGGTTAGGCACCACAGCAACAAGGAGGTGCAAGGGTTTATGCAGTTGTTCCAGATGGGAGACAGGACCGTGCACTAGCAGCAGTGGAAGGTACACTTACAATTTATGGCAGTATAGCTAGAGTACTATTTGATTCAGGTTTTTCATATTCTTTTATTGCACTATCATTTGTGGACACACTGGGATTAGAACCTGGACATATGAGTAATGCCTTATCTATTACAACTCCACTCGGAAGCGCAACCGTACTTGATAGAATATGTCGTGCTTATCCTGTTACAATTGGGGAGTTGGAATACCCTATTAATTTGATCGAATTACGTATGAGAGACTTTGACGCTATACTGGGTATGGAATGGTTGGCTAGATATCATGCTTAATTGGACTATCATGAGAGGATTATTGTATTCTCAGTTCCGGGACAGTTACCTTCTTGATATAAGTGTGGGAAGTTCGAGGGCACCATGACTATGGGATTTCTCGCACACATCAAGGTGGTTGAGCAACGCGTGACTATAAAGCAGTTGCCTACAGTGTCAGAGTATACAGATGTGTTTCAAGATATTCCAGGTTTACCTCCTAGAAGGGCAATGGATTTCTGCATCGACCTCACTCCTGGTATTTTAATTATCTCTATGGCACCCTACAGAATGGTGCCAGTTGAATTGAGTGAGTTGAAGAAGCAGACTCAAGAGTTACAAGATCGGGGGTTTATTCGACCTAGCACATCACCTTGGGGAGCACCTGTTTTATTTGTCAAGAAGAATGATGGGTTACTCCACTTATGTGTTGACTACCGTGCGCTGAATAAGGTCACCATTAAGAATAAGTACCCATTGCAACGCATTGATGATTTGTTTGATCAACTCAGAGGGGCACAGTTGTTCTCTAAGATTGACTTGAGGACTGGGTACCATCAGTTGAGGATTAGGGATGAGATATTCCTAAAACTGCCTTCAGGACTCGTTATGGCCTCTATGAGTTCTTAGTCATGCCTTTTGGGTTGACTAACGCTCCTGCAGCTTTTATGGATTTGATGAACAGAGTGTTTCGACCTTACTTGGATCAGTTTTTTGTGGTATTTGTTGATGACATCCTGATATATTCCAAGACTAAGGAGGAGAATGAGAGACACTTGAGCATTACACTTCAGACTTTGCGTGAGCATCAGCTCTATGCTAAGTTTGAGAAGTGTGACTTTTGTCAGGAACAGATTCAGTTTTTGGGGCATGTGATCTCTAAGGATGGAGTTTTAATAGATTCTGCCAAGGTAGAGGCTGTGATGAGTTAGAAACGGCCTACTACTGTCACTAAGATTCGTAGCTTCTTGGGACTGGCAGGATACTATAGGCGCTTCATTGAGGGTTTCTCCAAGATTGCTGCACCTTTGACCCGTTTGACTCGGAAGGATGTGAAGTTTGTTTGGGACCACCGCTGTAAGCAGACATTTGAGGAGCTGAAGACGAGATTGACATCAGCACCAGTTCTTACCATTCCTGTTAGTGGTGAGAGATTTGTGATCTACACAGATGCATCATATCAGGGTCCTAGTTGTGTTTTGATGCAAGATGATAAGGTGGTAGCGTATGCCTCTAGGCAGCTTAAGCCACATGAGCAAAATTACCCTACACATGACCTGGAATTGGCAGCAGTGGTTCTTGCATTGAAAGTGTGGAGACATTATTTGTATAGCGAAGAATTTGAGTTATTCTCTGATTATAAGAGCCTCAAGTACCTCTACACTTAGAAGGAGTTGAATATAAGGCAACGGAGGTGGATGGAGAAGATGAAGGATTTTGATATGACCCTTCAGTATCATCTTAGAAAGGCAAATGTGGTAGCAGATGCCTTGAGTCAGAAACCGAGAGGATCAGTTGCCTTTATGATGATTCAGGAGTGGATGATGTTAGAGGTATTGGTAGAGTTTTCTATCATGCCAAGTTTTTAGAGTACAGGGGCTCTTTTTTGTAGTTTGATTGTACAACCTACTTTGATCAGCCGGATCATTCATTCTCAGACTCAGGATGACAGGTTATAGACCAAAGCAGTTGAGGCTGTTAATGATGAATGTCATGTCGACTGGACGTATGGAGCTGATGGTGGTATGAGATTTCGAGGTAGGCTATGTGTTCCAGACTTAGCAGATCTCAAGAGAGAGATTTTAGAGGAGTCACACCACTCTAGGTACACAGTGCACCCAGGTGGCACTAAGATGTATCATGATCTTAAGAGGCAGTTCTGGTGGGAAGGCATGAAACGTGATGTGGCAGAGTTTGTATCTAGATGTCTCACTTATCAGCGAGTAAAGGCTGAGCACCAGAGACCAGCAGGACTATTACAGCCTTTGCCTGTGCCTGAGTGGAATGGGAGCATGTGACGATGGATTTTGTTGTAGGGTTACCGAGATCGATACATAACCATGATACAGTGTGGGTGATAGTGGACCGATTGACTAAATCAGCTCATTTTCTACCCATTCGAGCTACTGATACTGTAAAGGAATTGTGTAAGATCTACATCAGAGACATAGTTAAGCTCCATGGAGTGCCAGTGTCTATTGTTTCAAATCGTGATCCTCGTTTTTCATCTCAGTTTTGGAGTAGTTTCCATGCAGCTTTTGGTACTCCTTTGAGTTTGAGTACTGCTTTTCATCCTCAGACCGATGGCCAGTCCGAGAGGGTCATTCAGGTGTTGGAGGATATGTTTCATACTTGTGCGCTAGATTTTCGGGGCAATTAGGAGGATCACATTTTACTTGTTGAGTTCGCTTATAATAACAGCTATCAAGCTAGTATCGGCATGGTACAGTATGAGGCACTTTATGGTAGACCTTATCGTTCACCTGTATGTTGGGCCAAAGTTGGTGATGGTAGTTTGTTGGGCCAAAGTTGGTACAAGAGACTACAGAGAAGGTTGCCATCATTCGAGATCGACTTCGCACAGCTCAGAGTCGACAGAAGAGTTATGCAAATAGACGCCGTCGTGCTTTGGAGTTTAGTGTGGGTGACTTGGTGTTCTTGAAAGTATCACCAATGAAAGGAGTTACGAGATTTGGTAAGAAGGAAGGGAAGCTAGCTCCTCGATTCATTGGATCATTTGAGATCACAGAGAGGATCAGGGAGGTGGCGTATAGATTGGCTTTACCACCCAGACTATCTGTTATTCATGATGTTTTCCATGTCTCCATGTTAAGGAGGTGCTTGAGGGATGAAACTCAGGTTGTTGACTGCACAGAGGTTCAGTTGCGTCCTAATGTAACCTATGTTGAGACACCTGTTCGCATTGTTGACAGTATAGTGAAACAGTGAGGCGGGCAGAGATACCTCTAGTGAAGGCGCAGTGGAATCATCAGGACGAAAGAGAGGCTACTTGGAAGCTTGAGTCAGAAATGAAGGGAAAGTACCCACATCTCTTCGAATAAGGTACGCAAATTTCGAGGACGAAATTTCTTTCTAAGAGGGTAGAATGTAAAACCCGTGTAAAATATATATATATATATATATATATATATATATATATATATCATATACATATATTTATTAATTTAATTTAATTTGATTGTTATCTCGGTTTGAATTTAAACGGGATATTAAGATAGAGTTGGTTAAATAATTTAAATTTTAAAAAGAAATTAAATCGCTATATTATCTCACCAGACTCCCTATATCTCTATAACTCTTCATTGCGTTATATATATATATTTTTTAAATATTAGCACGATAACGGGAGAGGAAGGAGACCAGAGAGTGATCTGACATCGTGACTTTCTGCAGTAGCCGAGGGAAGGAACGATAAGCGGGAACTCGCGTAGGAAGGAAGAATTAATTATGCCCCAGGCAAGTTAATCTTGCTTTGTACACTTATATATATTTGCGACTTTGTTTATTAAGTATTCTGATTAATCATTACATCTGGGGTTAAAGATTAATAGTATTTTAATGAGATTTTAATTGAAAATAGATTGGCAACGTCATGCTTAATAGATTATTAGAACTTAAATAATCAAGCTGTTAGAATATTTATTTGGTGATTGTTGTTTTGTTTATGTTTAAGTATGAAATTAAACGTGACAGTGTTGTAAAATTCGTTATAGGTGATAGGCATGCATACGTGTGTATATATATATTTATATATATATATATATGGTGTATTTGAATGATATATTGTAATATGTAAAATTGGTTTGTTATATCTGTATAAATATAATATATAGATATATATGAATATTTGATTAAATGAGAATTTGATAAAGAGGAAAGGAGGAACTTATTCTTGTCGAAATTAATCATGCACTGATTGAATCGAATTTTATTTTGAAATAATATAGTTATATTCTGTCATGAACTTGATAAACTTTAATATAGAATTTTGGGTCAATTAGAAGTTGGAATGAATTATGAGTACTGGTTGGATTTGGGCGTACTTGGGAAGGAGGAATTCAATAATTTTTGGGTTTTTCTACAGTGTCACTGTAGGGCTTGTTATGTGAGGAAGAGTCAGGCCCATGTTGAATCTAATTTTAGTCAACCATCAGGCCCAATCTGGGGAGTTACACTTGGGTCCAACTGAATTAGAAGTATTTTTTTTAAAATTCTTATTTCTTATTAGTTTTAACTTAGAATAATTAAGGAAAAATATTTTAAACATTTCAAAAATTATGAAATTTTCCAGATTATTATATTTTAGTATAATAAATCTAGTTTTGTTAAAATCCAGATTTTAAATGTTATTTGGGTAAGCTTACCAAATTAAACCTTGAAAAAGTATTATTTCTCAACACTAAAAGGGAGAGTATGGAAAAACTATTAAAAGTTAAATTCTAAAATTTTGCAGGGTATTATATCTAATGTTAGGCTATGTCTAGGAATTTTGTACTCTTACTAGTTGGGTCTTTAAGGTTCTGTTTTTAAATTAAAATGGTATTTGGGTGTATTAATTAATAATCTGAATTATTAATTAATGATATCTTTCATAATTCATCATAATTTATAATTAATAGATGAGTTCGGATTAGTCGGAGGGGTAGTCAGGGACTGACCCTATGATGACTTTTGGGTATGGTCAGGGACCTGCCTATTTTGGGAGTGCACTACCTTTTTATTATGGCCATGGGTCTAATGAGCCCTTATTGTGTGGACGTGATCAGGGATCATCTGGGGAGTAGACGTACAATTCAGCCACACGTGTGTTTTCGGTAATCAGGGACTATACGATTCACCACTCTATTGGATGGGAGCCCGGGGCTCATGTGAGATATGTGAATTTATAAAAAAAAATAATAATAATAATGGCTATTGTAGAGTTCATAATTAACTAGGTGATGCATATTTAATTAATGCATTTATTGAGTTGCTTTTATATATGGGAATACAAGGTACGATGATTGTGTTTAGCATTTCTTGCTGAGCTTGTTAGCTCACCTCACATTTCAGGTGCTCGTAGAGTAGGAACGTGATGGAGACACCTGACGGGGATGGATTTTAGCTCATTGCTCATTGATTTATTTTAGCTCGGTTTTCCTTTATTATGATTATTGTAATAAAGTTAATGTTTTATGAAACTTTATCGAGTTAATTCAGTGGTCATAGATGTTTTGTTATGTTATAGGGAATTTCACCTTTATTTATGGATTTGATTTATGTTTGTCAGACACTCATGTTTAATAGATTGGATGATGGAGATTCATTATAGTTACATGTTATAATGAATGCATGTTGAGAATTGGTGGAAGTTATACATCAGATTTTACATACAAGACAAAAGTCTTTGTGTTAAAATTTGGGGTATCTTTCAATTATATTATATTATTACTTTTAAATGAGTAAAATGTTTATATTTTCACATTATATTAGATAAAAAAGATTACTTTACTCTAGAAATAAAATAAAACAATTAAATAAAATGAATATTTGGCGTGTCTTTCTGTTTAGATATTTGACATGCTGAATACATACTCGTACCGAACAAACGTACTCGAGTCTATATAATATAGGTTTGACCAATGACTTAAAAGTGGCTATCTATACCTCAACATCCCCCATACAATTGCCTTGAGAGCACTCAATTGGGAGATACGCTTATGTTGGAAATGTCATTCAGAATGGTCAATCGAGCACCAATTGAAACTTCAATGCCAATCTCAGCAATTCAAGTATCATGCATGTCGGTTCCGTATTTCTCTGACATGGGTATAAGATATGTGTTCGATGTTTTTTATTGAACATATACTTAAAAAGCGATAATTCAATTATATTATATTTTTACTTTCAAATGAGTCAAATGCTTACATTTTCACAATGTATTAGATAAAAAGATTAGTTTACTCTAGAAATAAAATAAAATAATTAAATAAAATATATATTTGGAGCATTCTTTCTGTTTAGATATTTGACACGCTGAATGCATACATGTACCGAACAAATGTACCGGAGTCTTTGTAATATAGGTTTGACCAAATATACCTCAAGATCCTCCATACAATTGCCTTCAGCACTGCAATTGGGAGATATGCTTATGTTGGAAATGTCATTCAGAATGGTCAATCGAGAATTCCAAATACTCAACCCTAAACTGAGGCATACTGCCTCTCTCTGCCACTCAATCCAGGAAGCCAATTCTTACTCCTTTCTATGGTCCAGCTGTTCTTCATTCTCTCTGGCTCTCACCATTAACAACCTCCGATCATTGAAAGGCTGCAATATCTCGTCCCCTTCTGTCGACCCCCCTCCTTCGACTAAACTCCTTTGGTTTAAACACCACACCCTACATTTCATCTTCATCCTATGGCTTGCCTGTTTGGATAAACTGCCCACTCTTGACAAAAGTCCAGTGAACTTCTTGATGATGCCCAATGTTTGTTCCCTATGTCTCTGACATTCGGAATCCACCTCCCACATTTTCTTACCATATTTGGTCACATTTCCAAAACCTACGAAAATTCCACATTTCTCCACGCGATTGGCCCTCACTCAGTTCGTGGACTGTACGCAGTTGGTCACAATCCATCCTTTTCCTCCCACACAAATTAGCTCTCTCAGCATGTGTGCACAGCATATGGAGGGCGACAAATAATATGCTATATATATATATATATATTTTTTTTTTACATTTATACAATTCCTTAATTGAAAAATATATATATCGAAATTGCAATACTAGTTTGTACCCGCCTGAAAACAGATTATATCTAAAAATATAAGTTGTAAAAAATTAGGATTTGATATGTATTAAAGGTTTCTGTATATTTTGTTATGATGTACTTTTTATTGCAAATCCACTTAATTGTTCATCTTTTATTTCAAGCATAATTGATGATCTTCAAACTTTCTTGTTACTCTCGGACATCTGAAATCTATAATGAAAGTATTTAGCAGTAGGATATCTCATTAGCATATGATGTTAATGTTTTACTCTTGATTGAAACTTGTTTGGTAGAGGATCAATTTTAGCTAGTAACATATGCTATGATTTTAAAAAACTGTGCAATATCTTACACATTTGTTCTTTGTGCCACTCTCACTGATTCATGCATGAAACACGGTAATAATGTTATATATTCATCTATTTTGATACCTTTAAAAGAAAAAAAGGTCCCTGGTACCTGATTTAGCTAAAATGGCTAAAAGAGGCAGAGTACCTTATTGAAACTTTGTCCCAACAGCTCTTCCCTTATATTGAAGGTACTCTTAAAATTGTAGAAATTATAATTTTTTCATCCTTGATGATGAGTGAATTGATCCGTTTATAACTCACAATTCTAGACTTCAATATATATCCGTTTAATTGTTTTTTAGGTTGAATCGAAGTAGAAGAGGGGTGGAGAATTGGAGTATTAATTTCAAGGTGGTGGTTGGAGAATCATCCACATACGACATTCCTGTATTTTTCTTTTTCCAGAACTGGTTTGCTTTTCATTTTTTGTTTTTTTCTTTTGATTAACTAGTATGCTCTACAAGGCCATTGACTGCAAATGCCTCAAATCTACTAAACAATCGTCTTTGTTTTGCCCAAAGGAGTCGTCACTGAGCTAAACAAGTTGTTTGAATCCTTTCTTTGGAGGATGGTTTAGACTTGCCTAACCTTGAAGTCTCTAACAGAGCTTCCATCCTAAGGCACATTTGGGACATTCAGACTGCAAGTTCAAAAAGAATACGGGTTAAGTGGTGTCGACATTACCAGGTGCAAGGGAGGTGCCTTGTGTCTCTGAAGATCCCACCAGCTAGAACTTCCATCAAACACCGAGTTGGCAATGGCAGCTACACATTTTTTCTGGCATGATAAATGGCTCAGCAGTGGCCCTCTGTCCCTA